AGACATTCCCAGAAGTGTGTCCCCGAGGTGACTGTAAATCCAGTCAGGTGACAGTGAAGATTAGCTGTCATATCCTTACACTGTAAATACCCTTACATACATACATTTGCATACACAGCACAAAGACTTAGAGACACAACTCACTGCCACGGAATCAAGCATCATCTTCAGACCACCCTCACTGCCTCAGTCATCAGCATCTTTAAAAATGTGTTTGAATTCAGATCTGAAGGAGGGCCACTCATTGCATCAGAGGGGTGTGTTTAAGGGTCCTTTAGTCGGTGACTCTCTCCCTACCTCGGTATGTGTTCGTGTGTGTGTGAACTCCATAGATCTGTTGAGAAAACTGGCCCATTGCCCCATTCTTTCTTTTTGAAACAGTGTCTTTCTTAGTAGCCCTGCTTGTCCTCAAGTTTGCAATTCTCCAGCCTCATCCTCCTGAGTAGGTGGGATTATAGGCTTGCACCACACACTCATCTGCATTTATCTTGTAGCATTGACCACATTCTGGATTTAGATCATTGCTTCCTCATGATCATTGGGCTTCTGCCTCCTATGCTCCCTGTAAACTGGCGTTAGATCTAGAGACTTGATCAGATTAAAATATGATTAAATTTCTTTCTTTTGTGTGTGTATGTGAGCTTATGAGTTTATGTGCACCACATATAAACAAGAGCCTGTGGGGGCCAGTAGAGGGCATCAAATCCCCTGGAATTAGAATTACCGATGCTTGAAAACCACCATGTGATTTCCAAAAACTGAACCCAGGTCCTCTGCAAGAGGAGTAAGTGATTTTAAGAGCTGAGCCATCTCTGTAAGATCTGATTTTTTTTTCATCATATCATAATTGTTGGGTTTTTTTTTAATCACAAATAATGGCTCAGAATGCTCATCTTAGCTTTAGCAATGGACGATTGGTCATTGAGTCCAGGAGCTACTGCTTTGATTCAGGTTTGAAATCATACTCTGGGGGTGGGGATGGGATGCACATGCCATAGCAATGCAGGTGTGGAGGAAAGACAATGACTTTGGGGAGTTCTCTCCTTCCACCTTGTTTCGAGGCAGGATCTCTTATAGTTTCTGCCATGCTGCCTATTCCAGGCTATCTGGCCCATGAGCCGTTGTACTGGCTCATTTTTTTATGTCAACTTCACGTAAGTCATCAGAGAGGAGGGAATTTCAACTAAGAAAATGCCTCCCTAAGATTGGGCTGTAGGCAAGCCTGTAAGGCATTTTCTTAATTAATGATTGATGAGGGAGAGCACAGTGCATTGTGGGTGGTGCCATCCCTGGGGTGATGGTCCTGGATTGTAAAGAAAGCAGGCTGAGCAAGCCATGAGGAGCAAGCCAGTAAGCAGCACTTTCTATGGCCTCTGCATCAGCTCCTGCCTCTGGGTTCCTGCCCTGCTTCAGTTCCTGTCCTGATTTCCTTTGATGATGGTCTGTGATGTGGAAGCATAAGCTGAATAAACCCTTTCCTCCCCAGGTGGCTTTGGTTATGGTATTCATCACAGCAATAGTAACCCTAACCACGACAGCCATCTTGCAGGTGACTCTCCAATCTCTAATCTTGTCACTGCATACATATGTATGCTGTGTCGGACTTCTCATGTGGGGTCTGGGGAACAAACTCATGTAGTTAAGCTTGTACAGCTGGTGCTTTTGTGATGAAGCCCTGTAGGCAGGCTCTAAGATGTACAGCCTTAAGAGGTTTGGCTACTGGGTGGAACCTGGGTTGAGTGATAACCAGAAGGAGAAGAGAGAGAGGATCTCACTCTGGGTCCAAGTGAGACGTGATGATGTCCTGAAGAGAACAGAGGAGCTGAGGTGGTAGAGGGCATGGAGAAGGGATATGGGACAGACGAGAGATGGGTGGGTGAGTGGGAGGAACTGGTGACTAGTGAGAAGGCCTGTGTGGGGAAGACTGGACAGATTGGCTTTCTAGGCAGGGAAGGAACAGTGATGAGGACGTAGCAAGAATCGTGTCCTCCAGACAGCTAAGTGGCTCCTGACAGCGCCCTAGACCTCGGATGTAACGAGTGTGCAATTGGAGGGTTGAGGAAAGACGGAGTGCCAAAGCATAGGAACTGGCCCAGAATGTGAAGAAACAGAAAGGGAGGAAGGATGCCAGTTAGAATCCCCTGTGTGCTGCACTCCCAAAGTGCTTGGTCACACCCAGTCACCGGAGGCTGCTTTGTGAACATGGGAGGAGGTGTATAAACGTGACTGTTTAGCAGGTGTTGGGTTTTACAAGTCCGTAGCTGCCCTGGGAAAGCCGCTTCTGCTCCTCAATCTTCACCTGGCTTTTTGGCCCAACCACCCTGCAGTTCGCAGCTACCTTCCACTAGAACTTGCCTAGCTAGGCCATGGGCCTGGCCATGAAGCTGCTCCTCAGAGGAGTCAGCTGGCGCCTCTTCTAAATAAAGCAGGGATACCACCTCAGCAACAGGAAGCGGGAGCCTGCGGAGGTACTGGAGCCCTATCCCTCCGCCAAATGTCAAAGCCAAGGTAGGGCAGTTAGAGAACATTCTCAGTCTAGACAAGAAGAGGTTGGTTGGTTGACTGGTTGGTTATTTCCTTACAGTGCTGAGAACCCAGGGCCATGTGCATGTTAGGCAAGCATACTGACACTGAGCTATATCCTGGACACTTGATCCTCAGTCTATATGGAAAACAAGGACCAAAGAGATTGAGTTGCTCAATGATGGTGTGGGTTTGAAGCTGTCAGACCAGGGCCATGAGTTCAATCTATACCATGTCCTACCTCTTCAATCCCTGTCTGTACCACATCCTACCTCTTCAATTCCTGTCTGTACCATGTCCTACCTCTTCAATCCCTGTCTGTACCACATCCTACCTCTTCAATCCCTGTCTGTACCATGTCCTACCTCTTTAATCTCTGTCTGCAGGTTCTATCCTGTTCCTTTGTAGGTTGGTCCTGGCATGACAGGTATAATGGAAAGAAATGGAGGGATGTGCCAGGGAATTCCATTAAGATCACTATAGCTTGTTTATGATTACAGCATCTTCAGCTTTCAGGGCAAAAACACAACAGGACCAGTGAGAGAAGAAAACATGGCTAAGAGCCCCACCAAGGACAGAGGTGGGGAAAGTTACACAGTCCTGTACCACACAATAATGTTTTGGTCAACAATGGGTTAATACAAGATATAAGGATCATCCCTTGAGATTATATCACCAAGTGATATGATACCCCTCTTAACTTGTATCATTATACACTGTTTGTACAAAGTGCCTAATGACATGTTTTCAAAACATGTCCTTGTCATTGTCTGATGTGCACATGACAGAAGAATAGAATAGTAGCTGGCCTGAATTTGCAGTCTTTCTGCCTCAGACTCCTGAGTGTTGAGCGCAAGCACCATGCCTGGCATAGCTACCACTTTATATACATGCATACATATATATGTTTATACATACACATGTATTATTTATTACTATTGTATGTGTATAATGTGTATGTGCATACATATGCCACAGGGCATAAGTGGAGGTCAGAGGACAACTATATGGAATCAGTTCTCTCTTTCCACCATGTGGGTTCTGGGAATCAAGCTAAGGTTTCGAGGCTTGGCATCAAGTACTGTACTTGCTGAGCAATCTTACCAGCCTCATAGCCACCACCTTTGAGCAAGGTATTATGCCAAGACTTCCCATGCATTGTCTTCTACACTCATAGTACCCTCTACACACACCAATGGCTGTTAGAATTTCTAGTCTGTCTACAGAAAGCTCAGGGTTAGAGACATAATGCATTTTTCCTTGGGGCACAAAACTAGTCATTGGTGTGGGCAAGATTTGAACTCAAGGCCATTAGACACAAAGCGCAAGGTGTTTGATGATGAGCCCATGGCTGAATTTTGAGTGAAATGAGAAGTGGAAGATCAGGCTTTCTGACATCTGGGATGAAAAGGGAAATGCAGTCCTTAGCGTACAGCAAAGCAGATGCTCAGCCAAGGTGAAGGTATGCTAGCAGGAAACCAGAAGGGACTAATTCTATGACAGCTTCAGCAAGGGAAATGGAGCAAAGTCCATCCTCTCTGTCCATATGGTTACTTGGATGGAAATAAAGATGACTGAGCCACTTCCACCCATTTCCAGGCTTGGAAATTCTAAATTAAATCATTCTAAATCATGTATGCAATCATGTCCTCTCCCACCTGAACACGAACAAGCTCTCCACTATGTCCATTGATGCCTTTCAATTTTGTAAAATAAATAAATATGGAAACTCTTACCCAGTGACAGCTTAACTAGAGAGCCAATTACAAGAAGGAAACCAAGAAGCAGGGGCAGAAGGAACCTCACAAAGGAGAGGGGGGAAAGCTGAAGGCATGTGTTTATTTCTACCTCCCGAGTTACCCCCTCCCATAAGAATATTCCTTGCCCTCATCCCCCCACAGCCTTGGACTAAATTGAAAGGACTCACAGAAGAAGCAGGGACCCCTCAGCCTGGTGGTCTAAGGCCACCAAAGTCTGGCCACAACTGCCTTTTTACTTATTTTCCCTGAATGACTCATACTTAGTGAGTTTGGGGCTAGCCTGGGCTACATGGTTCAAGCCCTGGCCATCAGATGCTTGTGTTGTACCATTCAGTAACCTTCAAGCACATACCCATGAGTCTATTCTCTGCCCATGCAGTTTTAAAGCTGAATGTACATCCCCAGCCCAACTCTTCTGTCTTTCAATCGCCTTCACTTGCATTTGAAGCTGGTTTGTTCCTGCCTCTGCACACCCAGCTGACTTCACCTCCATTAGAGCTCTTACTCGATCATTACCAGGCATTTTCTATGCTCTGTCTATTCCTATCCCAGTAACACAGTGGCTTTTCCCACACTGCTTACTCCTGTCTATCCTAGCAATGTGGGATCAGAACCAAAGGGTGTGTTTTCAGTTCTTCCTCAGGCTTTCTCTGAATCTGCAAAGTAAATGCCCCCACACGTAGAACACCATGCACCATTTGTCATTCCAGACCCGACATGTGCAGCACCAGTGAGTGTGACCTGGAAGACATCCCCCTGGAGGATGATGACCCAAACAGCCTGGAGTTCAAAATCCTGGCCTTCTATGCCAAGCACCATGTCTTCAAGAGCACGCCAGCTGTCTTCTCACCCAAGCTCTCCAGAACAAGAAGTTTGTCCCAGAAAGCCCTGGGGACTTGGTCAACTGATTCCTGGACACAGGTACCATTGCCTTGCAGAAGCTCCCCCTCCAGTGAAAAGCACTTAAGCTTTGGCAAGAAGAAGTCTTCCTGGAGAACATTCTTCAGAGCGACAGAGAAGGAGGAAGGCCCACCGAGCTCCCCAAAGGAAGTCCGTACTCAGGGTGTTCAGGGCCCCTTCGTGGTACAGCGCCAGGGCCTCCAGAACCAGCACTGGGCCAGGTCTCTGTCCAATGTGGAGCAGCGCCTAGAGGTTGAAGGTAGGCTTTGCGGAGGTCTCGTCCTCACAACCGTCTCCTTCCATGTGTGTGCCGAATGGTCTGCCTCCTCCTACCTGCTGAAGACAGGCCTGGACTTTCCACTTCATTAACCTTGTATCATAACCACCCACTTTTCCCAAGAAAGGAAGGAGGTGGGTGTGAATGGTGACTGCAGAGGTTTTCCGGTTCCGTGACTATAAAAAAGTTTGCTTCGAGAGAGGAGCACCAAGGAAGGCACCTTAGCCAGGCACCTTAGCCAGGCACCTTCTCCTGACCTCTGGAGACCCTGGGTACTGTGTTTACACCTGTTTATTAGGGAGATCACACCCTTCCCTACTTCTTACGGTTGATGGAAAAATCAAGCTGAAGAGCCAGTGATTCCAGAATTCAGGAGATGGAGGCAGGAATTTCAAAGGTTCATGGCCAGCCTTGGCTATGTAGTAAATTGGAGGCTAGCCTGGGCTACATGAGATCCTATTTAAAAAAGAAACAAACAAAAAGCAAATGAAAGAGAAGGGAAAGAAAGGGGGAAGGAGAGAAGAGAGGAGAGAGAGGGGCATGAAAGGAATAGGAAGAATGAGGGAGGAGGGAGAGAGGGAGGGAGGGAAGGGGGGAAGGGCAGGCAAATAGATAGAAGCAAACAGTTTTTCAGGTGGGCACAGTGGCTCATACCTGCATCATCAGGTTTCAGGAGGAAAAGAATGGCCAGTTCCCGGCCCTCCTGGGCAATATAGCAAGTTAGAGGCCAGCTTACTGCAGGACGTCTTAAAAAAGAAAAACAAACAAAATACTTTTCAAAATGTAAACACCAGGCTGGAGAGATGGCTCAAAGGTTAAGAGCACTGACTGCTCTTCCAGAGGTCCTGAGTTCAATTTCTAGCACCCACGTGGTAGCTCACAGAAGTCTTTACTTATAATCCCATGGGATCCGATGCCCTCTTCTGGTGTGCAGATGTACATGCAGACAAAATACCCACATACATAAAATACATGTTAAATCTTTTTTAAAAGAAAAAATATGTGAACCGCTTTTTTTAAAAATCGGATAAAGGGGCTGGAGAAATGACTCAGTGGCTAAGAGCGCTGGCTGCTTTGCCAGAAGACCAGAGTTCAATTCCCAGCACCCACATGGCAGCTCACAGCTGTCTGTAACCCCAGTTCTAAGGGATCTGACACACAGACACACGAAGCAAAACACATAAAATTGTTTAAAAAAACAAAAACTGATAATCTTCCCTTGTTAGGAAAAAATGAATTGCGTTGAACAAGACATGGTCACTGAGGGCTTACCTCCACCTACAGACCTGAGCAGAAGCACCTTCCATCTTCCCACCCACTCCCACCTCAGCAGGCCCCTTCCTGCCAGGTCCCATGGTGTCCATAATCAGTCAACAGATGGCAGCAACGGCCCAGTTTTAAAGTGTGGCCGTCATCCTTAGTGTTTGGAGTAGGTCCCGGGTGTGGATGGCTCGTACCATTCTGTGGCCAAGGAAACTTACACTTCAGTTAGGCCATGAGGACCCAGGGTCCAGAGGATATGCAGAACCTGTCACTGAAGGGGCAGAGAGAATTTCTTGGGGGTGGGGGGCATTGCTGGAGGAGACACAGCCTGGACCACACAGAGACCATCTATCTTCACAGCTTCATTTAACTCTGAGCAAATCAAAGCATCGGCTCCTTAAATGCGAGGATGGCTGAGCCTGCAGGAGAGCCAGGAGTGAGGAGCTGCTCAGAGTCTTCCTCTCCTGCCGCATCCTTCCCAACACAGGCAGCAGCTATCAGAGCTGGGTGCCTGCCCCCCCCCCAACCCCGAGACCTGACTTTGTCAGTCACTGTGGCCTGCACAGGGAGACAGGACGTTTCTTCATTCCCCGTTGCCTGGAGTAAACCACACAACAGTATCACTTGGCTTCCCCGCCAACACACACATTTTTCAAAAGAAACTGTTCAGATCACCCTCCCCCCTTTTCAGGGGAGATAAGTGAAGAAAAAATAACTTTCAGGTGAGATTAAGAATAAAAGTTTCAGCTAAAACAGAAAGTGGGTTTATTGGCCAAATTGCATCTGAGGCTGAATAACCACATATTACTATGTACATAACCATAGAACGTAGTTTTATGCATATCTAGGCATCACATCTCCATTTTAAGCAGGAAGAAAAGAGAAAGACAGAGATGGCTTTCTTTCTAGAGTATTCGGCTCACTCTATGTATATATTTGTGTATTTATTTACTTGCTATTTGAGACAGGGCCTCGCTATGTAGCCTAGGCTGACCTTGACCTCTTGACCGACTCCTCATCATTAAATCTTGCAAATGAATGAACAGCCTCCAAGCACTGTGTGATTCGACTCAGCTGCTCCATTTGGCACCAAACACAGAGCCACCTCAAGTTCCTACAATGAAGTGATTAGTGGAAAACCAGTGACAGGTTTACTGCCCAACAAGTCAGTCATGTACTTGCCCATTCCACCATGCTTTCCTCAAGCAGACATAAAGCTGGCTTGCATCGATTGGCAATAACAATAAGGGAGTCTGTGCCATGTAAACCTTCCTGCCCCAAGTGGAAACACATGATATATCACTCCCTGGATTACAAATTCATGAAGGTTGAGTTGTATTTCATATACTTGTTCTTCTGAGATGGTCTTACTTTGTAACCCAGGCTGACCTGGAACTCATGATCCTGCAGCCTTGGCATCCTAGTGCTGAGCTACAGATGTGGAGCACCACACCTGGCTGTGTCTATGCAACCATGTTTACCTATAAGTATAACTTGAATGTTTTCTATTAACCATAAAGGGGGCAAGTTGTGGCTATAAGATCAAGGAGTATCAAACTGTTGAACTCTCCTGTGCACTGAGAGGCCACCCCTCCAAGGCACAAAGGGTGTCCCCAAACATAAATAAATTTAAAAGAATAAAAATAAAAGTACCATGAGCATTCTGTCAAGGAACGTGCCACCTCCCCGCTCCTTTGGTGTTCCTTGGCAAGGGGGAAAAGATGAGGCTGTGGGAGGGCGGCTGTATACTGCCCCCTCATCCCAGCCTCTACTGGGGAATTGCTAGTCCCTTCTGAGGAATGCCCCCACCTCAAACACGGACATAGTCCTCTCATGCTAGGCTGGCCTCTAAGCAACTGGGCAGTCCGTCCAGCAGCCCTAGCTCTGGGGATACCCTCTGAGCATTTCTTTTCTTGTTTCAGCTGTGGACCCCAAAGTTGCTTGTATCGCTAACCGAGTGGCTGAAATTGTTTGCTTGTGGCCACCACCAGAAGATAGCCACAGCCAGGCAGGAGGCTGCAAGTTCAAAGAGAGTATCCCAGAGGTTCTGTACTTCCAATTTGAAGGCGCTAGAACTTGCGATTCTAAGAAAGGTAAGCCTTCCTTGTTGAGTGTGCTGGGTTGAGCACGTGCCAGATAGAAGTGTATGGGCATGTATGTATGTATGTATGTATGTATGTATGTATGTATGTATGCAGCCCAGAGCCCTGTACATTGGGAATTTCAGCCTGCTTCACAGCAACATGATGGAGACCTTGAGCTCTAGCTTAAGACATCAGCCCATGACACAGAGATGCCATGAGCGTGTTGAATTAACACATCGGCTCACTGCTAAGTCGGAAGAGAAGTCTCCTGTGGAGGGAGAGGAGGAAATGTCAGCTCTCATCATGTTATAATGGCCGTGCCTAGAGTTGGAGCATCAACCAACCCCGGACTCGTGGGAAACACCCAGGGCTGTCAGACAACCAGTGTGTTAGTCACTTTTCTTGCCATTGTGAGAGAAATGCCTACCAGAAGCAACGTAAGGGTGAAAATCTTTGTTTTGGCTGACGGTCTCGGAAGGTTCCACCCGTGTTTGCTGGACCACATGCATTTAGGCAGAAGAACACGGCAGTGGGGCAGAGCAGAGGGTAGTTGTCCATTGTGCAGTCAGCCAGGAAGCACAGAAAGGCAGACCAGCCCAGTCATAGTACACCTCACAGGCCCACCCTCAGTGCTCTGCTTCCTCCAGTCAGGCCCCAGCTCCCCAAATCTCCACAACCCCCCAAACAGGGCCGGCAGTCGAGGACAGGCATTTGAAGCATGAGCCTGTGAGGAACAATTCGTATTTGATCTAGCAATACCAGGTCTGGATCAGAAGATGCTGAAAAAGCGAGAATTGGGGACCAGATTAGGTCAGTCACTGCCCCACACGATAGCAGTGGCTGGGACTCCTACAGATTCCAGAGGCCGCGTGGAAAGCCTGGGCTCAGAGAGAAGAACAGAAGGGAGAAGGAAGCTTCTGCCGTCCCTCACCACTGACCTTCCTCTGAGCTCTCTCCCCAACCTCTAACAGAGGGTATAAAGGACGGTGACGAAGTGGCTCCTGGGTCTGTAGCGTCGTGAAGGACAAAGCAAAAGTCCTCCCCCACAAAGGCATCAGTGTATCTCAGACCCCGAAACAGAGCTGTGGCTTTATCCACTGTCTGCTGTACATCTGAAACTAAAAACTGCCACAGGGCTCTGAGTGAGGAGCCTTCCATACGTGCCAAAAGAAAGAGCTGGGGCTCTGTGGCCATCCCAAGTGTGCCTGGGAGGCAGAAAGTGATATCCTCAGACGAGCTAAAGCCAAGGCACCCCTCCCCTGCACTCGGGAGGAATCCAGGACTCCAGCACAGCATCTTTCTCGGAGAGACTGAAGAAGAGAACATGCCCAGGGCTGTGGAGATTTACGCCTGTTTTCTCTCAGGCGTCGAGAGTCCCAGGTTATCACTCTCCTCACTCAGCTCCTCCTCCCTACACCTTCTGGGCCTTGCTACATTAATTCCCTGGCCTCCCTTGCCTCTAGCCAAGATAAATATGTGGGTCCCGTGTTGCCTCAGAGACTGGGCTGTAAGTCAGAAACTCAATTCCCTCAGTAACTGACATTTCTCTGTTTGGATTCTGTTCTGTAGTAACGATCATCTTCACCGTTATGTTTACTAAGTAGCAAGTTGTGAAAAAAGCCATCAAAGTCCATGCCAACAATAGCCATTTTTTATCCAACTGCCATTTCATCCTGGGAAACTCAGGAATTTGTTCATTTTATTCCCACGTACCCCACATTGTTGTAGAGAAATGGAAATACAGGGTATAAATTTTAATCACATCAAAATCAACCAAGTTTAAAAATAATGTTAAAAAATACATAGGAAAATAAAAAGGACTTACGAATGAGATTGGTCCCCAAATGTAGGCCAGGAAAATGTCACTACACATTTGGGCTATAAATTTGGCTCCATGCTTTCTGACAAAGGTAGAAATACGATCAGATGGGGGGTTTATGGGACTGGGAAGCTGGCTCAGCTGGTAAGGTGTTCTCTGTGCTCAGAGATTGAGTTCAGATTCTCAGTTCCCATACGAAGCTGTGCACAATGGCATGTGCCTGTATGGCCTGACAGGGATGGTACAGAAAAGGGGATCTGGGGCCATCTGGCCAGTCAGTCCAGCTGAGTTCTAGTCCAGTAAGAGGTCCCGTCTCAAAAACTGATCAGAGAAGACATCCAGCGTCGACCCTTGCTCTCCTCCACATGCACATAGACACACACACAAAGAGGATTTATATTTAACAAAAGTACCATCTGCTGAGGAATAGTCTGAAAACAAGAAAAAGAGGTGTGTATGTGGCTCAGTGGTGGAGCATTTGTCTAGAAACATGAGGCTCTGTTTGACCCCCAGCAGGCAGAGTGGGGGTAGGCTGTAGCTATTGCTTAGTGGCAAAGTAAAATAAAAATTAAATAAAAACAAGAGGGAAATGGCTCCTAAATATCTTCATGGGCAGGATTATGTGTAGTGGAACTGATGTCTTCAACAGTATTTGTATAGTAAATAGGTGGTAAGTTTCTCAATGAGAATCGGGAGAGGACCGAGGGACTGAGCAAAGAAACAAGGGAGGGGACTGGAGAAGTCTTGACCGAATGGTGAGATTTATCAGCTAAAGATTTGAATGCTTGCTTCTTTCTCCATCCCTGACCATGCCACAAGCATCACCATTGGAAGGAAACATTTATTAGTTTGTGACTGTCTTGAAAGAAATAACTGGAATTTCCCTCTCCCCCAACAGATGGAGAAGATGAAATAATAAGCAAAATTGTCGAGCTGCTGAAATACTCAGGGGATCAGTTGGGAAGAGAGGTATGAAGCTCCTAGAGCTAATGTGATTCCTGTCTGCACCCACGCACTAGGGCAGGACAATGGAACTGTGCACCAGGCTCTGACCCTCGTCCTCTCCAGAGTCCTGGCTTCCACTTAGTCCTGAATTTTATTTCCCTTGGAGTCTGCATCTTCATACTGGCAGCATCTCAAAAATGAATCACTTTGGAAAACATAAGTAAATCTTCTGGAGCCTCCTTGGAATTTCTGGAAACTAGAAATGCAACTGTGTTATTGTAAGAAAAGACATTAGAAAAATGAAAAATTTCTGCATAGGTTTATCAGTCTCCTTCTCATGTAACTGAACCTCAGGGGAGTCTAGATGTTTGCAATTTCCCAGTAGCCTGGATATGTGTCTCATAGTTGCTCAAAGGCTGGGGTCCTCTCTGAAATCCCTCCACAGTTGTTGGACTGTGCCTGCTTAAAGTCTGTCTTAGGAATTCACCCAGAGAGGCAGGCTAGTGAAACTTCGGGGACCCGTAAGTGGAGAAGTGGAGACCCACCCTCCTCATTAGAAAGTCGGACAGCTGTCCTCCGGTGACACTGAAGAACAAGCCCGTAGTGCAGCCAGAGGTCATTTTCTTTTGTGCCCATAGACCATGCCCGATCTCTGGGGTCTGTGCACCAGGATCTAGCTTATAGATTCTTCTTTTGCGGTCAGGACCTGTAGGGAGGAAGTCGGGTCCAGGGACAATGCGTGTGGGCTTCTGCAGAAGGGAAAAGCAGAATAAAATGGCAGTCTTGGCAAGACCACAGTTCCTCTCCAATAGCCTTGCCAGACAGGTGCCCAGAAAATCATGACAAAGGGGGATAAAAGGCCTAGGGAAGGCGTAGGGTGAAAGCCAGGGATACTGGGCTAAAGAGAACACAGGAAGCTTATAGCATTGTGCATACAGAACTCAAGCAGCAGTCCCCAGAGATCCCGGTTCGAGGAAGAGGTGGGAGGTGAAATCAGTTGGGTAGAATGATGGGAAAGGAATCTATGGATTTTTTTTTTTTTACATTTATTGTTTATTCACGTGGAGGTGGAGTGGGATGTTCATGTGCCATGGAACACACATAGAAGTCAGAGAATGGGCAGGACCCTGTGTTCTCTTTCCACCAAGGATCCTGGGGGTCAAACTTAGGCTTGGCAGCAAGTACCCGCTGAGCCATCTCACCAGCCCCCCTCTCTCATTTATTTTTAGTAAACAAATATGTGTGGGGAGTCTTCCGTGGCCCCGTTGTGCCCCCAGAACTCCCCCTTCATGTCTAACACTGTACTATCATTGTGCTAGTTTAGAGATGAAATAAAAAGATATGAAAAATGAGTAGTATCCCCAAGATGGCACTGCTGTAAGAGGGTAGGGCAGAGTCTATCCCTAAGACATTACTGGGTTTCAGACCTCATCTGTAATCCTGCCTCTTGAAAAGCACACAGCACTACTACTAGTCATTCCCACTTGACTGTGGGCCATGGGTAAGCACCCGGCTCTTAGTCACCTGTGACACCTTTCCATCCTTGGTGTTTGGGAAGTACCTGAATGTTGAATAATTCGATTTTCAGTTTTGTCCTTATTTGTACCAAGGAAAGGAATCCATAGAGCAGGTACCCAGCTCCACTTGACTCTGTAGGAGGCTGTGCCATGGTTGAGACTGCAATCCAGGGTCTTTTTACTGGTGCTTTTGAGTGCAAGCATGGCCTTCCACATGCCTCCTAATTGCCCCTCCTCTCATACACAGATGAAGAAAGACAAGGCTTTGATGAGCAGCTTCCAGGATGGGCTGTCGTACTCAGTGTTCAAGACCATCACAAACCTGTTCCTGAGGGATGTAGACACCAGAGGAGAATCAGAAGTCAAAGCTCAGGGCTTTAAGGCTGCCCTTGCAATAGACGCCATAGCCAAGCTCACAGCCATAGACAACCACCCAATGAATAGGATGCTGGGCTTTGGAACCAAGTACCTAAAAGAGTACTTCTCCCCCTGGATCCAGCAGAATGGTGGATGGGTAAGTGTAACCCACTAAGGAAATGAATCCTCTCAACAGGGTGCTGTGGTACATGTCTGCACTTAGGCCCAGGCAGGAAGAGTGTGAGTTTGGGACAAGCTTGGACTACATAGTGAGACCTTAACACACACACACACACACACACACACACACACACACACACACACACACTCATGTGTGCACACACACCCATGCATGCAGGAGTGCACATATACTCACCACACACACACGTACCATACCAAACACATACACACTCACACACACATATACACCACACTCATACACACACACACATACCACATGCACACCACACACACACACCTTCTCTACACTAATAAAGGATGGGCGATAAGATTTTATTAAGACAAAGGAAACACATCTGGGAATCAGTTCTCATGGGGTTATGACACTCAAGTGGCAAGAGACACGTCCCATCAATTGGGACATATTTTTAGCGATGATCTTCTTTGTCCACAAATATTTACTGAGCTCCCAAAGGGCATGTCGGGGGAGTGGGGCAAAGGGTCAGAGGAAGCAGGAAATGAGGAGCTGGTACGACAAATGTTTCAGTTTCACCAATTCCACAGCAACAGAATGCTGCTGGTCAGACGAGGGCAGGGGACGCTCACTCTCACTCCCTGATGCCAGCAGGACGCAGGGCTGATCTTCACAGGGTTCATGCTCACAGGATCCTGTCATTGCTGATTAGACCTCAACAGGGACCTTGCGACACAAACTGACGAGCAAGCGCTTGAACTTGCATCTATTCCTGATGAGCTGAACCAGTTAGGTCAGCTCCCTTCCCTCCGTGCCCCAGGCCCTCCTCCATCTTTGATCTCTCATCTCTGAGACCTCACATAAACTGTTCAAGATTGACATCAGGCCAACTTTGAGCTTTCATTGCTGACTGGTCAAGGTTAGTCTTAGGAGGACGGGTGCTCTCTCTCAATGTCCTTGGGCTTCTTTCCACCAGAATGTTCCAGGGCCAGCAGGACACTTGAGTTGATTTTAGGTATGACCAGAGTGTCCCTGGGTCTTGCTCATAGGCTGGTCTTCTGGCTCTCACAAGGAAGTGTGGCATACATTCCCCCACAGAGCTGAAAAGCCTGCCATTGTCCTCAGTGGCATCCCACTTGGCACAGCCTCTGCTCCTTTCTGTGTTCCGCATTTGCGGCAGGTGTGAGAACTGGGAAGTGTGCTAACCACCCCCAAATTCAAGCTGCCTGACCAGTTCTGAAAGGAGGTTAGATCGCTCAACAGTATTTCAGTTCTCCTTTCTTCCTCTGAAGGAAGGCTGAGGCTCTCTGCTGCCTTCCTTTCCTGACCACTGTGGGGGATGGGGAATGAGAAAAGGGATGGTGATGGATGCAGCTCAGTACAGTGTGTGTTTGGCATGCATTAGGCCCTGGGTTCAATCCCCAGTGTGGGGGGGGGCGGGGGCAGGGTGAGAGGAAAAGAGGAGTGGAGGAGATGAGGATAGGGAATGGAGAGGAAAATAAGAGATTGGAGAAAAGGAGAAAGAGAAAGAGGGAGAGAAATAAAGAAGGAAGGAAGGAAGGAAGGAAGGAAGGAGAGAAAAAGAGAGCAAAATAAACTCAAACTGATAAAGAACATAAGTTATGGAGGGAGGGAGGCAACAGAATGGGGAAAATTTTCCAAGTCAGATACTCAAATAAATTATTTATATCCATAAGATGTAATGAACTCTTACAATTAATTCCACAACAAAAAAGATAAGTGATTTAAGCTTTTTTTAATAGGCAATAGATTTGTCCACTGTTTCTCTTGGGAGGCTATATAAACAGCAAAAGACAAGACACTTGGCATGCTTGTTTCAATAGTGGGGAGATGTAAGTCAGAAAGCTGAAGAACTCCACCCACTGGGATGCTTACGGCAAAGACTGTCTGTGAGACTGTGGGAACTGGAACCCTCCTCTTCACATTGCTGGCTGGACTGCAGAGCCATGCAGCCCCTTGGAGAACAATCTGCAGTTCTCACAAGTGTTAGCAAAACATTAAGGACAGTCATCAGGGGCTGGGTGTGCAGCCCAGTGGGAGAGTGTATACTTAATGGTGAAGGCAATGGCTTTGATCCCCACCACCACAAAATAAAGAAAGGAAGGATGGAAAGAAGGAAGGGAGGGAGGAAGGAAGGGAGGGAGGGAGGAAGGAAGGAAGGAAGAATAGAGCTACCATCTCTACCCCTCAAAAACTGAAGACATTTTCACCCAAAACATGTACATAAATACTCATGGCCATATTCGTTATTCATGTTAGCCATGAAGCAGAAGCAAGTGCAGTGCCCATCAACTAGTGAACGATGAAGCACACACAATGCCGTGGAATGTGACGGAACCATAAAAAGAAAAACAGCAGTGACACACATACACACACACACACACACACACACACACACACACACACACACACATATATATATGAACCTTAGAAAACACTAGGCTGGGCTGGAGAGATGGCTCAATGGTTAAGAACATTTGCTGTTCTTTCAGAGGATCCAAGTTCGATTCCCAGCATCCATGCTGGGCAGCTCATGACTGCCTATAACTCCAGACACCAAGGTTTCAATGCCCTCTTCTGGCCACTCATATGTGCCCACACTCACAGACACACATACATATATGTGATTGAAAAATAAAAGTAAAATTGAAAAAAGCATCGTGCTAAGAAGCCAGGCAAGAATGCCACTTGTTATATGGTTCTGTTCATATAAAATGTCCAAAATTCATGGAAGCAGAAAGGAGATTAGTGAGGGACTGGGGCTGACCACTAGTAGGTACTAGCAGTTTAGAGTAACAAAGGGGTTCTAGGGTCCAGGGTAATGATTGTACAATGCTGAATAGTAAAAGCCACTAAGCTATTCACTTTTACAGGAAGAATTTTGTGGTAAAATTATATTTCAGTAGATATGAAAAAAAAAACAGCTCTCATTCCAGTAATCAGATAAAAGAAGAAGGAAAAGTGAATGCAAACATTTTAACTATATAATGTGGCTGCTGGCTAGACAGAGAAGCAGATTCAGTCAGAGGAAGTAGCTGAGTCCCTCAGGAGGAATTTCGAGGGGATTTTTCAGAGATTAGAAACTGATGCAATTGCTGAAGGGTGTGTGTGTGTGTGTGTGTGTGTGTGTGTGTGTGTGTGTGTGTGTGCATGCGTGTGGAGTTGACTCCAGGACCTCACGTGCTAATGCAAGCATGGTACATGCTCAGATGTCTCTCCCAGTCCCTGGCTTTTGTTTGCTTGTTTTTTAATCTCTTCTTTTCTTTTTTTTTCTTTTTTTTTTTTTTTTTTTGGTTTTTCGAGACAGGGTTTCTCTGTGTAGCTTTGCGCCTTTTCCTGGAACTCACTTGGTAGTCCAGGCTGGCCTCGAACTCACAGAGATCCACCTGGCTCTGCCTCCCGAGTGCTGGGATTAAAGGCGTGCGCCACCACCGCCCGGCTTCTTCTTTTCTTATTTATAAGTAATTTTGCTTTTGTTTTTGAATTAGGGTCTCATGTAGCTCAGGCTGTCCTTGATTTCTGAACTTCCTGCCTCTGCCCCCTAAGTGCTGGGATTTAGGTACATCCTTCTTAATTTCTTCCTGTTCTGGGGATCAAACCCAAAGCTTTGTGCATGCCAGGCAAGCAATCTACCTACACGGGACAGCTGCAGCCCTAGCCTCTGTACTTCCCATCCAAATTTGGCTATCCAGGTTGTGATAAACCTTAATCTTAACTCTTGGCCTTAGCTGGGTTTGACCTGCAGAGTGTCAATTAGAAGACAGAAGGAAATGATGTGAGAGAACTGACTTGGCCAAAGTGCCAGAAAAGCACTGAAGAACTAAGAGACATTGGTAAAGGAATACTTATGAACAAACACGAATTGATGCCATTAGGGAAGTGTAAGCTGGACATGGCGATACACACATAATCTTAGCTTTCCGGAGGCTGAGACAGGCTGATAGCTGTGAGTGCGAGGCTAGCCTAGCTACAGAGTAAGACCCTGTCTCAAAATGAAAGAAGGAAGAGAGAGGAGGAGGAGGAAGGAGTAGGGAAGGGGGACGAATCCAGGAGGCAGAAGGGGAGAGGGAATAGAGAGGGACGGAGGAAGCTCTGGGCTCTTGTCTCCATACTGAAGGGTTCCTGGGCTTACAACTAACCATATCAATTCAGCTACAGTTTGCCTGGTTCAATATGTATGCACTGTCTTTCTGATAGGTCCCTTTACTTTACATACATCAAGGATGTTGAGCCAATACTTGTTCAGTAGTGACTTGATCAGTTGCAGAAGGAAGGTCAACTCCATCTCCAAATCCTGCTGTATTAATTACTTTTCTAAGTGCTGAGAAGGGAGTGACCTAAGGGAGGTTGGGTTATTTTGTCTCACAGTTTGAAGGGGAGACAGTCATGGAGAGGAAGACAGCTCCATGGTGGTGGGAGTGTGGGACTCCTCATCTCACATCTTGGGTGAACAGGAAGCAGAGAGCAAACAGGAAGTGGGGCCAGGCTATAAAACTTCAAGGTCCGCCCTCAGTGATCCACTTCCTCCTGCAATGCTCCACCCCTTCAAGGTTCCACAATAGGACCATCAGCTGAGACTAAGCATTCCACACAGGAGTCTGTAGAGAGACCCTTCGTACTCAAATCACAACACAAACGAATCAAGCTTCCTCCTTGCTGAGTGAGGCACGTGTTCACACAGTCACTGCAGCCTCCATCGGCGTCAACGCTTCTTTCCTTTTTGGAATCTTAAAGGCGGTCTCAAAGCCTTTGCACATTTCAGAGATCAAGCCTTGGCCCTTGGTTTCTTTGCAGGCACCCCAAGGATGTCAAGCCACCCTCCCCACACCTTCCCCAACTCCAGCCCAGTCTCCCAGCCTGTGTTTTCACTTCAGCAGCGAATCAAACTTTGAATTTTAAGGATTTTCTTTCCCTTTCTCCTCTAGGAAAAAGTACTTGGGATATCACTTGAAGAAGTAGACTGAAATATCCAAAGACCTATCATCTGGAATGTTCCTTGTCCAACGGTGGTCCTGTGCCCACTGCTCTCAGCATAGACTTCAGGAGAAAATTAAAATGTATGCAGCAGATGGAGCCCAAAATTTCTAGAACCATCCTTCCTTTGACTCAAGAGGCATCGGGAGAGGCCTTGCTCTTGGCAGCTCTTAGGATTCAGTAGCATGGACTTTGCATCGAGGTTCACTGAGCTGAGTGTGTGAAGGAGTCCGTAAAGATAAGTGGCGATTTTACCATTAAATGTTCAGAACGGAAACCATCCTGTTAGTTACATTAGAGGACATGTTCGGTGGGTGTCTGTTGATCTCAGGGAGGTGAAATGATAAACGATGCATGTGCTTACTTTTTTAGTCTCTGGTACTGTTTGTTCTCAGACTATCATCTCAAGATGTCTCTTTTGGTGTGAGAGAAGAAACTTGAGTTTACTATTAGCTCTGATTTGGGTATAAGCCTGGCTGACCCATTCTCAAAACCTACTGTGGCAATGCGACAAACTTCCATTTGGTACAAAACCATTAGCCCGTCATCACCTACAGATTTCTTTGTGTGACACACCTCCACTCCACCAGGTTTCTGGGACTGAGAATGGGAGCACACATGTAACACAGCATGCATATGGAGGTCAAGGGGCAACCTCGGGTGTTGGTCCTCACCCTCCACCTTGTTTGAAGCAGGGCCTCTTGTGCATCTACCCCAGGCTAGATGGCTTGTGAGCTTCTGGGAATTCTCTCTCTCCATCTCCTATCTCATCCCCAGAGCACTAGGATTACAGATGTGCACTGAGACACCCGGCTGTGTAGGTCAGTCCTGCGGATTCAAACACAGGTCCTCACACTTTTGTGGCCAACACTATATCCACAGCGCCATCTCCCCAGCTTGAGCTCTGGGACTTTATTATTCCTGCAGGTAGCATAATGGTTGGTAACTAGTAAAATAAATACATTCAAAGACTGCTGTTAAAGAGCAACATCTAAGCTGGGTGTGGTGACAGCTGCCTGCAACCCCCAGCTTTCAGGAAGCTGAGGCTGAGGTGGAAGGACCACAAGTTTGGGGCCAACCAAACATGAGTTCAAGACTCTGTCTGTCTCAACACTCCCCTCGCCCAAGTGTTTTCTGTTAAAATAAATAGTAAGTTATCATAGCATGGCTTCCATGAAGACCAAGTGTGTTAACCTACATCCAGTGCTCAGACTGGTTCTTGGGACCTAATTAGTGTTAACTGGTTGTTGTGTTTCCTACTGTGCACCGCCCACCCGCGGAAAGTGCCCCATTCTCAGTGACTGGTTGCTCTTTTGCTATCGATACTATGACTGGAAAACAACAACAACAACAACAACAACAACAACAACAAAACCTCTTAGGCAATCACAGTAGTACCACATCTGAGGCAGGAGAATTGCCAAGTTCCAAGCTAATCTGGGTCTACACAGTAAGATCCTGTCTCAAAAAAAAAAAAAAAAAAAAAAAAAAGGACCTTGGGTTGCCAGACCTTGAATGTAGTCTGACCTAAAATGAGCAGGTCAACGGAAAGGGCCCCATCTGTTACAAAAGGCGCCACTAACCCATGTAGCACAGAGAATGACTTCCTCCTTTATTTCCTCCTATGGGTCTCTGTTTATCCTCTCCCTGTTCTGTCCTTTGTCCGGTCATTCCTAACCGGATGTGTCATTCATGCATGCCCACACCTCGGATCCTGAACGTCCTCCCCACTTGGAATGCGCTTGCCTGACAGCCTCCTTTCCCGGTCCTCCTAATCCAAATTTACTCCTTCATTCCTGCCCCCGACCTCCGTGCGTCATTCACAGACTCTGTTGGCTGCCATGGGGCTGTATTTGGATGTCTTTCCTCGGGTGGGGGGGGGGGGGGGGGGGGGGATCCAAAGAACTTCCTCTGCAGACATTCGATTTAGTGCGCTGCACCCTACGACCTGGCACACGCAGCCTTTCTCAGTGGTGTGGGAACTCCTTTGTGTAGTTTTGACTTTATACATCTGACACCAGGCAACTTCTTGGCACGTGGTTGCAGACCATACCCCAGCCTCTGCCACAGCTTGTAAATCAGTTCAATTGGAGTGTGGCCCAAGATGCACGGAGTCATAACAAACACTCCAAGTGATTCCAAAATCATATGCAGCGTCTCGTCAGGATGATGTGACAGTAACTAGATCTCATCTCCTGCCTGAGTCTTCATTTTTACTGCAGACAAAATAAATGAAGCAAAGATTTCTAAGAGGCGGCAATGGTGATGGAGACCTGGATGCTGACAGATGAGAAGCCACATGAGCCCGGCGATTGCTTTAGAATGGGGCATGGAAAGCATTCTCTGGCTGTACTCTGAGACGGGAACACCCAGAGCACAGCAGTCTGTCTGAGCAGGAGTCCAGGAAGGGTGACGTGGCTTCAGTGTCCAGGGGAGGTAGTGGGGAGAGTAGCACCCCAAGCTGCAGACAGTCCGAGTCTACAGATGAGAACAGATCAATGGGTACATGTGGGAAAATCTCCCAAGGCTGCACAAAACCCTGGAACTGTGGAAAAGGAGCACCCTCTAGAGCTCACAGAGCCAGGAGCAATGTCAAATTTTAGAAACAGGTGGAACACTCAGAATTTCTCCTCAATGAAATGCTTGTTGCACAATGCCGCACTGCCCACGTAGTAGACAGGTATGATGGACACACCAGTAATCCCAGAGCTGGAGAAGTAGAAACATGAGGGCAGGGTTTATGAACCAGCCAATGAGGCTGAGTCAGAAAGCTCCAGGAGCAGGGAGAGACCCTGCCTCAAAAAGTAAGGTGGAAAGTTATTGACCGAGGAAGACAATATCCAGCCTCCACAGACAGACATGTGTACATACACACAAATGTACACGTGCACAGAAAGGTTACAAAGGCAAAGGACTACATTTGAATGTTGATAAAATTTGAACACGTGCTAGGGAGATGGTTTTACTGGGTAAAAGTGCTTGGTAATACAAGCATGAGGACCAGGGTTCAAATCCCTAGAACCCACATAAAATCCTGACATGTAGCATGCGCATCTGTAATCCCAGGTCTCCTGTGGGGAGATAGAAGGCAGAGTCAAGACAGTCTCCAGACTCCTGCAGGCCAGCTATACATGCAATGGAAAAACAACAAAGAGACCCTATCTCAAAGCAATGTGGAGCATGAAGACCAACACCCAAAGTTGTCTGACCTCCACATGCATACTACAGCACACATGCACTGAATACACACACACACACATGCATATGCACACACGAGTGCACACACACATATTGTACAAACACGCAAATTAAAATCTTTTCAACACATCAAGAAGACGTAAGTGAGGCAAGGCATAGTGGTATACATCTTAAATCTCAGCACTCGCGAGGCAAAGGCAGGTGGTAGATCTGAGTGTAAGCAAGAGAAGGTAGAAGCTGGGTGTGGTAGCAGACAGGAGACTGAGGCAGGAGGATCATACATTCAAGGGCATCTTTGATTACACAGTGATGTTCATATTATGTATATGCATATATATGTACATGCATTTATATAATTATTATTAAGCCCCTGAATCCAATTAGTGATACGAGTATGTGGTCATCCACTGAGGCATGAGCCATCTACAGTGGTAACTCCCCCTACCTTAGCAGCCATCAACTGTTAGCTCCTCCAATAGGGGTGGAGCTTTGGAAACAGCAGAATAACTACTCAAGAAATTAAAAACAGAATTAGTATAAAACATAGCAATTATATTTCTGGGTAGACTGCAGAGAATTGAAAGCAAAGACTTGAACACAGAACTTTCAACTTTATTTTATTATATTGGGTGGGTATGAGTGCAGGTGTCACAGCACATATGTAGAGGTGAAAGGACATTTCAGGAGTCAAGTCCCTGCTTCCACCATGGATCCAGGGATTGAACTCAGACTGTCACGCTTGGGCAGCAAGCACTTTTACTGGCTGAACCATCTTGCTAGCCTTTGGACTTTTTTTTTTCAAATATGTGTGGTGTGGTGTGTGTTTGCACATGTGTGGATGCACAGACAAGTACATACATGTGTGTGGAGGCCTGAGGTTGACATGGAGAGTCTTCTGTCTTACTCATTGAGACAGGGTCTCACAATTAAACCCAAAGCTCACCAACACCGTTAGTCTGGCTAGTAAGCCTGATGTGAGCTCTAGAATTACAGGTACACCAGGCCCGCCCAGCATTTATGTGGGTTCTGAGGACCCAAACTCTGGTCCTCAAGCTTGCATGGCGCTGAGCTCCGCATGGCTTCAAGGACTGACCTAACTGGGGCAATGAGGGGATGAGGAAAGGACAGACACACAGACACATACAGACAGCCTGCATACCAGGTTTACATTACTATTCATGACTGTAGCAAAATTACAGTTATGAAGTAGCAACACAAGCATTTTTATGGTTGGGGTCCCCACAGCACGAGGAACTGTATTAAAAGGAAACCATTAGGAAGGTTGAGAAGCTCTAGACTAAAGCTGGGCATGAAGAAACACTCTTGTAGCCACATTCAGGAAGCAAAAGCAGGAAGATTTGAGTTCCAGGGCAGCCTGGACTATGCAGTAAGTTACAACCTGAATTACAAAGACAGACCCTGTCTCAGAAGCGAGGAGGGCTTAGGAAAGAAAGAGAGAAAAAGGGAGGAAGAGGGACAGAGAAACGGTAGGCGGCGGAGTCACAAACTGAAATCTGCTTTAGAGAAATGGCCAAGCATCTCCTCTAAAGGGAAGAAACAAGCGGGTAAGAATGAAGACCCCACAAAGCAAGTGCCAGGACAGCCAGGGCGACAAAGAGAAACTCTGTCTTAAAAATTAAATCAGGCCGGGCGGTGGTGGCGCACGCCTTTAATCCCAGCACTCGGGAGGCAGAGCCAGGCGGATCTCTGTGAGTTCGAGGCCAGCCTGGACTACCAAGTGAGTTCCAGGAAAGGCGCAAAGCTACACAGAGAAACCCTGTCTCGAAAAACA